GACCCAGAACTAGAGTCTTCACCACATTTGCGGGCATCTACTAGCCTCTCCCCCTGACAATGAGGAACAGTGGCAATTTAGGCTTTCCTGAAAATTTGTCCAGCTGGGAGATCGAAACCCGACAGCCTAATATTCATGCCTCGCAGACAAGAGAAGCACTGTTAGTTTAATATCGGAGCAGAGGTTCTGTCCTGGAATTTTTGAAGCAGCAAGAACAAATATTTATAGCAGGGCAACGAATCCCCTTCGGTAAATGGATGGTGTGGATGTGGGAAGAAGAAATAATTTGACCTTGTTGACTCGGGACAGCTGGCTGGGAAATTCGACTTTGCAGTGTGTCTGGGGAGTCACCAGAAGGGTGAAATGAACTCTGAGGCAGGCCAAGTTTTTATACCCCACTGATGTCCTGCAATTGCACCTTCCACAAAACAGGGGTAACAAAAAGAGGGGAGCCAATGACTGGGTCAAACTGCATCAAGAAAAATGTTATGCATGGCATTACCTTGGTTAAAGAATTTATATAGTATACTGTTCTTCCTCCGAGGAAGAACGTTGTAGATCCCTCCTGGGCAAAAATGGGTCTCTGAAATGTTTCAGACTTCCATCTGAAGAGATATTTCATTGCACAGATTGTCAAAAACATTTTTTTAAAAAATATCCTCGAGGCAAGGAAGTCTTCCATGGTATATAGGGCCAGATCCAGGCCCGGTTCTGATTTGTTGTATGCTAGTTGTAGCTCCAGATGGGATTGTACTGTCCTCATTTCCATCACGTACGCGTCCTGTCAACTGAAAGGAGGATAAAACAGGTTTTCATATCTGCTCTGAGGAAAAGAGAGAGGAGGAGGAGGTGAAGAATGAATCTTCCTTGCTGAGTTGGGGTGAAAGTTTGTGACTGTTGTTAACAGAGTGAGACCACCTGCTACCTCTTTGTGTTAGAGACTTCCAGTTGTGCCACAATTTGTAGGTGCAGGTCCATGCTTTTTTGCCATGTGTCAAGAGCAGGGGTTTTTTCCTCCCACTGCTTTCCTCGGGAAACCTGGCTGTTTACTGCTGCGTCTGAGAAAACGCCAATCCACAGCAAACCCAGTTGACTTTTATGGTGATTCACAATGGGACAAAAACAAAACAAAACCCTGCTTGGACCCATGCCTACAAAGTCTGGATGAGTCCTTCCTAACCGTAAGATGAGAGGGAATTTATTTCCTGTGTTTGTCAAATAACCGAGATGACCTGGGGCTTCCTAAGCATTTTCTTCTCCCATCCTCAGTGCTTCCTCTCCTGTTTAAAACAGACTGTGTAAAGTACTCTCTGCCTTTTACCTCAAAGAGGATTTTTACCCTGATTCCTGTGAAAAAAATATGGATATTTTCTTCAGGGCTCATTAAAAACAGAAGAAGAAAAAACTGAAACCAAAATGGTGGTCCCTCAAATTATTTCGCCACTGGTGGCATGACTTTTCTGCCAGGCACTCAGCTTACAACTTAGGACCTCATTTTGGGACAAAGCAGGGAAATTTCACACAAGCGGAAGATGAGGTTCTTATGCCACAACTGCTTGGTTCTCAATGTGCTTCTGCATACCCAGTGGCGGGGAATCAGAAGTGGGGGGGGGGGGTGTTGTTGGTTTCAGGGCCCTCTTGCAGGCTTCCAGTGGGCACCTGGTTGGCTAGTTTGAAAACAGGATGCTGGAATACAGGTAGATGGGCCATTGGCTTACAGGGTTCCTCTTGGTTTCTTACGTTCTTAAGTTGATTAGAAGTATATTTATTTGAATGAGTAACATTAGTTTATATGAGTTAAGTGGGGTACTGATTTCGGCTAGCAGACTGTGTTCAGTACAGGTGTCTTCCCCAAAACTTACGCGGGGGCCCCAACATGCAGAAGTGAAATTGTGTATAGTGGGGAGCGCCCCACTTTAATAGAGAGGGGGCGCGGGGAGGAGAGAGAGCGGGAGGTAAGAGAGGCAACTTGGAAATTGTCCGTGGCCCGCTTCCCCTATCCCGAGCCTGCCTGCCTGAGGGGAGCCGGAGCGCATGGTGGTGGCAGCTGGACACAGAGCGCGAGGGCCAAGAAGGGCACCCAGCAGAATGGGTGTCAGGAGGGGGCGCAGATGCGTGGCACAGCCAGGGAGAAGGTGCCTCGTGCCCCGTGCCGCTGGTCGATCGACAGCCACCTTCCCTGGTTTGGGCAGCAGCCCTGAGCAAGGGAAGTCCTATTTATTTATTTGCGCATCATGACTTTAGCCAGCTTGTGCCATAAAAATCATGCTCCTTGCCATCAGACTCCCAGCATTTGGCTTCTGCTGCATCACTGCGAACCAGCCTGGGTGTGGCATTTACCAAGAGGTAACCCATCGCGAGGGTTAAACCACAGAGCCTAGGACTTGCCGATCAGAAGGTCGGCGGTTCGAATCCCCACGACGGGGTGAGCTCCCGTTGCTCGGTCCCTGCTCCTGCCAACCCAGCAATTCGAAAGCATGTCAAGTGCAAGTAGATAAATAGTTACCTCTCCGGTGGGAAGGTAAACGGTGTTTCCTTGCACTGCTCTGGTTCGCCAGAAGCGGCTTAGTCATGCTGGCCACATGACCCAGAAGCTGTACGCCAGCTCCCTTGGCCAGTAAAGCGAGATGAGCGCCACAACCCCAGAGTCGGCCATGTCTGGACCTAGTGGTCAGGGGTCCCTTTACCCTTTACCTAACCCATCACGATAGGCCTGGTTTCCTTGATCCATCTTCAGGTTGGTTCACCTTACATGAGCCTAGCAAGTGATGAGAAGAATGGTACCTACTAGCCTTCATTCCCGGAATTCTGATTCAGCGAGGGTAGCCAACATGGCACCATCTGGATGTCATGGACTACAACTCCCATCATCCCTCGCTATTGGCCATGCTGCCGGAGGCTGATGGGAGCTGAAGTCCAACAACATCTAGAGGGCAAGAGGTTCACTATTCCTGTCCTGTATACAGAACCTCCAAGTGTCCCTATTTTCCAGGGATGTCCCCGATTCAGAGAAGCCGTCCCGGTTTCTGATTTGATCCCGGAATGTCCCACTTTTCTGGTCCTATTTTCACTGGAGAAATGTTGGAGGGTATGGAGTTATGTGACCCCCCCCCCAAGCCATCTGAAGGCAATCCTGTAGGGATGGTAAAAAAAGTAAAATAATAAAATAAATAAAAAATTAATTTAAAAAAATATTTAATGTTTTATTATGTTTTTATATACATGTATGTTGGAAGCTGCCCTGAGTGGCTGGGGCAACCCAGTAAGATGTGTGGGGTATTAATCGTAAAATTATCATTATGGAATGGGTGTCAGCATCGCCCTTGAGCCAGTGCCACCAACTGGACTCATCCACTTCAGCCCCGACTGGGCCAGGCGAGCTGGGTAGCACTTCCAGAGACCACCTTCTGCACAGGAACAGGTCAAAGTGCTGTGGACTCACAGCTTAGAGTTGTGAGCACCGGATTCACTCCCACAAGAAGACAGTCGTCGTACAGCAGAATACAGCAGACTCTAGCAGAGTATATAAACAACTCGGAGAGCAGCTCTGTAGAATATCTTCTTTATTCTATCTACAACTATACAAAGTATATACAGAGCTTAATAGGTCTAAGCATAAATGAATGCTGCACTGCACTGAGTGTCTGCAGCTGCTCTTAGCAGCAACCTTATCTCGACACAGGATCTCTAACACTCAGTCTCTCTCTCTCTCTCTCCGACACTGACTGACTGACTGACTGACTCGGTGCTGGAGTAGAATAAGTAGAGAGCAGAACACACCTCCTCCTCTCTGGAGAATCAGCAGACTCCTCAGGAGATTCTTGGATATGGGAGGGGTGAAATCTCCTCAATGGGATGTCTCTATTTTCATCAGAGGAATGTTGGAGGGGATGTGTATGCATGCACCTATGGTAAGTGAATGGCTCAGCCGGTGGAAATCTGTATTCAAGCAGCAATGCTGCTGAATTATTTCACCACTGGCACTAAATGCTGCTGAATGTGGGTTTGTGAGGTGGCAGCGTCATGTTCTTGCGTTTTTTAAGAGAGCACTGACTTCTCTCCCCCTGCTGCCCTGCTGCCACTGCGCAAACTTAAGCATGTGCCATCCTACTGCAAAAACATGTTCTCGTGTGCCACACTAGGTACTTTCAGGTGTCCAAGGAGCCTAGTTAGAACCAACCGCTTCCTTGCAAACGTCCAGCGCTAGGGCAAGCCGAAAACTGCCCTTTCTCCATCTTTGCAGGCCCAGAAAAGTCTCATCTGGAAATTTCCTTTGTGAGTTTGCAACCAAGCCAGAAAGTGTGGGGTGGGGAAGGGGGAGGAGGAACTGGAACAAGCAGCAACATTGCCCTTACTGGATTTTGCCATAAACGTTGCGACATAACTTCTCGCCAGAGGATTCGCTTGCTGTCGCACACACCCTGCAGTTTGCGGGAAGGAGCGAGCTGTAAAAGTTGAGTAAGCATTGCAGCTAAACCTGACTCAGCGTTTTATCGCCACTAATAGGCTGGCGGCTTATCTGCTGCTGTCTGAATTTGATCTTTCAGTCTCTCCTCTTAAGCCTGCTGGAGGTTTTTCCTTTCTTTCTTCCTTCCAGTTCCGCTTCCACTTAATCTCGAGATTCTTTGTCCCTGCCCTGTTCTTTACCCCAGACAAGTTTGCACAAATCACGATCCTGTCTCTCACTGTGCCGAAAAGGTCACCAGGTACCATGTGAAGCAAGGGGCTCCTCTCAGGCCCCTGATCCATCCAGCCCATCAGGAAGTAGCCAATGCGGTGTCCTTCGGAAATTGTCGGACTACAACTCCCATCATCCTTGGGCCTTTGGCCCTGCTAGCTGAGGCTGATGGGGGCTGGAGTCTGACAGCAACTTGCAGGTATTGTGTTGGCTACCCCTGGTCTATATGGGCAGACAGGAGCCCTCCAGAAACTCAGGCACACTTCTCTCATAGAATCATAAGAGTTGGGAGGTACTGCAAGGGTCATCTAGTCCAACCCCCTGCCCAATGCGGGATTCGAACTCACAAGCCCGAGATTAAGAGTCTCATGCTTTAACAGCTGAGCTAGCCGACTGATGGTATGGGACCCACTACATTGTTTTTTAGCTAACATGAGATGCCCCGGGGCCACACAGGAATAGGTCACAATGCAACTCCTATCCATTCCAGTGCTTCCCCTCCCAGGGACAGTGTTGTCATGGAGAACAGCCACAGAACAGGGTCCTTTGCCCAGAGACTCGGGGCAATTCATTTTATCTGGGAATAAACTCCATTGCTATGTGGTCACTTATGCACCAGCACAGATTTGCATGAAAATTGCACGTGCTACTTTGTTGTTGTTGTTGTTTAGTTGTTTAGTTGTGTCCGGCTCTTCGTGACCCCACGGACCAGGGCACGCCAGGCACTTCTGTCTTCCACTGCCTCCCGCAGTTTAGTCGAACTCATGCTGGTAGCTTCGAGAACACTATCCAACCATCTTGTCCTCTGTCGTCCCCTTCTCCTTGTGCCCTCCATTTTCCCATCATCAGGGTCTTTTCCAGGAAGTCTTCTCTTCTCATGAAGTGGCCAAAGTATTGGAGCCTCAGCTTCAGGATCTGTCCTTCCAGTGAGCACTCAGGGCTGATTTCCTTCCGAATGGATAGGTTGGATCTTCTTGCAGTCCATGGGACTCTCAAGAGTCTCCTCCAGCACCATAATTCAAAAGCATCCATTCTTCAGCGATCAGCCTTCTTGATGGTCCAGCTCTCACTTCCATACATCACTACTGGGAAAACCATAGCTTTAACTATGTGCTACTTTACATGTATGCAAATTCAGAGGTAATTGCTGTCATTTAAATAGACATACATAGGGGGAAGAAGACTTTGGCCAAGTGATCAGTGTGCCTGTTGAGTCTGCAGTGTTGCCGCTGACTTTTGATGGCTAACTCCCTTCTTTCTCTTTAAAGCAGACTTAGACGGGAGAGCCCTTAAGAAGATCCTTTTTTCACATAGAGGTCTTTAAAGTAGGTCACATGCTGCCAATGGCATGGGAGGAAGAGGGTTCGCTGAGCCCCCATCTCCCACCCTGAGGGCAGATGTGACCAAGACTTGCCAGGACCCAGCATGCATGTGTGTGAGGCCTTTCTGGTGACCGTGCACAGCTCAAAGCTGTTCCCACCCATTATGCACTGGGAGAAAAGGGATCCAGTTGATTCCAGAGCCAGCTGCCCTGCCTCTCCAAAGGGACTCATGGATGAGTTGTACTTGAGCCTTTGTCCTGGTAAATGTACAATTTAGAGTTGCTCTAAGTTTCCTATCAGAAAGTACACGGAACTCCAATTGCTCATTGCCCTGAGACTTCAGAGCTGGAGGGAAAAACACTCCGGCCTCTGACATCTGCCAGGGGACTCTGGGAGGCTGCTCCGTCAGGAGACAACATCAAGGCAAGGGGAGAGATCACCCTAGCCCTATTGCTTTACCCCTCTCTCCCTGTTGAAAGAAAAAAAAACACAATAATTTAAAGAACTTTGTCATGGAAAGATCGCCCACATTCCTGCTGGTCCCACTGCTTTCTCCTGGGGAAACCAGTTGTATCCCCCTGAATCAAATCAAACGTCAATTGCGTATTCTGCAGATAGACATTTGTTTCAATTCAAAGGTAAACAGCAGGTTTTCCCAGGGAAAGTACTAGGGCAAACGAAAAACCTATTAGATGAGCCTTAAGACCTAGTATCTGAATCTTCATTTTTCCTCCTCCCTCCCAATCACTTTTTCCTTTTGTCTTGTGGCTGTAGGCTGCAAGTCCAAGGGCAGGTACTGCCTTATTACTGATCATGGTAAATTGCCCTGGTAGCTTTGTTTTTTAGCCAGAAAGAAGGGTAAGGATACTTTAAATAAATAAAGAAATGTGTATGCCCCAGTCAGGAGGCTCTTGATGCTGCAGGGACAACCTGTTCCTTGCTGCCTCCACCCATTTCACACACCCTGCCCTTGGACATAATGAACAAATTGTGTGTGCAGAGTATCTACCTTGCATACCAGATAGAAATAATGACTGATTGATGTGCATGAAGGGAACAGAATGATATTGATATGTGCTAATTTGATGGAGCACATGAGGACTTGGAGTGGCTGTTGTTGATACTAATACAGAAGTGTGGCCTTGAACTTCTCCAGACCCATGTTTAAACCCAGTTAGGGTCCTGCCCTCCAGAGCAGGAGAAAACAAGCTTGCTCCATCTTACATGTGACAGCCCTCTAGATATCTGTCTCCTCTTTTCCAGGCTAAACATACCCAGCTCCTTCAACCATTCCTCATAAGGCTTGGTTTCCAGACCGTTGATCATCTTGGTCACCCTCCTCTGCACACCTTCCAGCTTGTCAACATCCTTCCTAAATCGTGGTTCCCTGAATTGGACACAGTATTCTAGGCGTGGTCTGACCAAGGCAGAATAGAGTGGTACTATTACTTCCCTTGATCTGGACACTAGACTTCTGTTGTTGCAGCTTAGAATAGCATTAGCCTTTTTTGCTGCTGCATCACACCAGTGACTCCCACTAAGACCCCCAGATCCTTTCCCCATGTGCTATTAACAAGCCAGGCGTGCCCCATCTTAGATTTGTGCTGCTGGTTCTTTCCTGCTAAGTGCAGGACCTAACTTTTGTCCCTACTGAAATTCAGTTGGGCTTGGGCCCAGTTCTCCAACCAGTTGAATCCTGATTCTGCCTTCTGTGACGCTAACTACCCCTCCCGGTTTGGTGTCACCTGCAGATTTGATGACAGTCCCCTCAATTCTTTACAAAGACAAGAAAACAATGCCAGGCACATCCGCTCACTTTTGCAGCCTCTATTAGATAAGTATAATGAGATCGAAAGTTAATCCCCTCTCTTTCAAATCCAACAATTAGCAAGAGCGTTAGAGGGCTATGTATCGTAGATACAGTTCAGCGCTCGCATTAGAGGGATATTTAAACCGTCACGTTCTGACCTCAGTGATTATTGTGTTAAGTGATGCTTCTGGAGGTCATACTATAAATGGGGCCAAAATAAGCAGCTCACTCCATAGCTTTGCATCTTAACCATTAATCCATTTCATCTTTGGGATCACTTCTAGCCCGGTGACAAAGCCAGATAGGCAGAAGATTTCAAGCAAGAGGCGCAGTTGCCTTGAATCCCTCCAGAGAGCCACCAGGGTAACATGAGGCCACGACAGTGAATGTTTTGCACCTGGTGTTTGACCTGCGATGCCTCATTCACTCCCCTGCAAATCTCCACTCAAGTCACGGGCCTTGCATGTGCAAAAAGATTTTTTATTTTTATTTTTAATGGAGATTTCACACCCATCCAAAATTGGGTGTGAAATCTGGATGTGATGTTCTCAAAGAGGTCTAACACTTTCAGGTTTCGCTTTTGGCGTTTGAATCTCTGGGAGCCTTTGAAAAATTCACGATGCTCATAACGCCAAAGATTTCTGCATACATTGGGGAGATATGTTTGAGGAACACCCAACTCAGCAGTGGCTTCTGAGAGCAGTTCCTGATATTGATGTTGTATGCCTCATGTCTGCTGTTCAGGGAGGAAGAGCTTAAATGCTTTGCTCAGCCCAGAGACACTTGAGAGGTGAAGTGTAAGGCTGCAGTCCACAAACCACAGGAAGCCTCTGGGGTAGTCCTGTAGACATCAGTGGGGTTTCAGAAAGGCAGGTTTCGAATCAGTGGTTGGTTGGATGGAGCCAGGGAGGTGAGGCATCATTGCTTGGCTCTGTCTTGGTAATGTTTTTTGTTTTGTTTTGTTTTTGCAAATGTTTTTTCCCTCCTGCACTGTGTGCCTAATGGAGACTGACTCATAGCAGAGTACATGGTGCAGCCACAGTGTTCGCAAATGGGAGTGCAGAAACACTCCAGGATGCAAAATCAAAGGAAATTTGTGATTCAGTGGGGTGGAAGATAGTGACTCAGAAAATCTTAGAAAGAAGTGATTGAAGACGACCTCAGCCATCATGCTCAGTGAAGGGCCGAATCCTGGTTTGAGGACTTACCTGGCTGTGGAGGCAGAACTACCACTGCAAGAAATCTAGCCACCTTCGTTGGTTTCTCACAATGCCCCTAAAATGGACTGATCTTTCAATACTGGTTCCTGTCATAGTTTCTCGTTTTAAAAAGTACTGTGTTAAATGGGAACATGCAATTAAACAATCACCATCCTGCTTAAATATATATTGTGGGAGAAGTGATTAAACCGTGAAGCCAAATGCTTCGCTGAAGATCGAAGTGTCAGATCCCGTCAGTGTATGAACCAAAGAAGCTTTAATTTTTTAAATTTTTTTACAGCTGACAGTAAAACGGGAAATGAAAACCTGCATCTTCCACACACAAAAAGAAAAGAATGAGGAAGGCAGGATGAAAAGAAGGCATTTGAAAACTGGAAGCAGATTAAGCCTGCCTGTCTGATTTGTGCTCTTTCCCCTCCTCTGCTAAGGGCCATAAACAGAAATTACACCCAAGTGACCTCAGAGCCTCTCTCGGCCGGACATCCTCAGGTGTTTTTCTCCTTACATCCCCTCTGTTGTGTTATAGATTAGAGACTTACACTCTGACGCTGGTATATTGACACTCAAGATGGACCTGGGTGGCTTCCAACACGTTTAAAAACATAATAAAACGTTCAATATTTTTTTAAAAAAAAAATCTTCCCTGTACAGGGCTGCCTTCAGATATCTTCTTTTTTCTTTTTTAATGATTTTTATTAAGGTTTCAATAAAAAGTTAGACAGAAAAACATAAAAATAGAAGTACACAAATACACAATACATAATCCAAAAAGAGAAGGAAAACACAGAAAACAAAATACAAAAAAAACAAAAAAAAACAGAACAATTAAAAACAATATCACTTTTCCATTTCCGTTTTTGAATTTACTTATTTTCTGGACTTCCTCATACCTCCCTCTTTTGTATTCCAGTCCAAATTGTTTGTCCAGCAATTTCTTTTCCACTTTTTTAATCCCAATCTTTAATCTTAATATAATATAACACTTAAACTTCTTTAATCCTAATCTTTAATCTTAATGTGATATAGCATTAAAATTTTACCT